TATATAGAGTGCCTGATGACTATGTCTTGTGTCTACATGACTACTGTATATGTAGTGTCTATGAATATGACTCGTGTCTAAATGACTGCAGTGTCTTATGACTGTATTGTGTCTGACTGTATATAGAGTGCCTGATGACTATGTCTTGTGTCTATATGAATGCAGTAGTGTCTATGCTGACCAGGGTAAGTTTAAATGATGGAGTCGTGATGTAGGTATTAGCTAGTACATATATTCTGAAGCAGGTTACTAGGATATATCTATACAGTTTGACATTCATTATTCAGAATGGTAAGCCTAACCAATCAATTACACATCAGAAGTACTGGTGGAGCAATCCATTTAGACTCTCTGAGATGGTCACGGTGATTGCTGTCAATACTGTGTGATGTTTAGCACATGACTGTAAACAGCTGGTTGTGATCAGAGAGGGAAAGAGGTTGAAAGTCAAGGTGTTCATACATAATTTAACTTAAACTAGATGTCATGTTGTGAACATTCTACTGTTCTCTGGGAGTCTTATCATAGGTTAAAGCATTTATAGATGAAATTTATTGTACATATTAGGCAGCCTTGACTGTTTATACTGTCCTGTGTTTTGAGTTAAAATATGATCAATGCAGCAGGGTAAAAATTGTTTGGATATATAATACTTTTGGACTTATAAAGCCAGGATTAGCATAAATGGTAGATTGGTTGGTGGGAATCAAAAGGTATGGAGTTGATGGAGGGTTGATGAGACAATACAAAGATGAAAGGAATTTCCTGGAAACTGTTTGTGTGTTCAATTAATTAGTCTGAGGTTTTTTGTCTAGAGGGAGTCTGACTATATTTAATGAGACATATTAATACAATATGTTAGCCCATATTAACCTTGTAAACTGGAATAACTTCTCATTTTGTCCTTCCATTTGTGTTCAACTGAAATAGCTGCTCATTTTGTTTTTTACATTTGGAAATACTGTATAGATTGTATCAGGTAAAAATATTAAGACCTAGCTTCTGTGATACATTTACTCGTAAACACACATTAAGATATCTATAACACACTGTCAGAGATAATATGAGGTTTGATTTTACTGTCATTAAATTGTTTACATGATAATTTCTTTTGAAATTGAATCTTGCTTAAAAAAGAACATAAAATTATATAACCACAATGAAAATTCCCTGATTTACATTTATCGTTTGATTTACTTCCTTCTCTGCAAAATCAAAAAAGATTTTGACTTTTGTTTTACTGATTTCCAGATTTGACATATTGACATAATACCAGAATAAAGCTGTGCTTACATGTATATATGTATGTATTTCATTTCATGTTTGAAAACTGAAAATGGCATCCATTTCATTGATACAGCTATTATCTGTTGTCATTTGGGAATAAGCTATAGTCTGTGTGTATGTTGCATTTTTGTTTCTTCATCTGTCAGGGGATTTCCGCCACATGTTTTTTTTTACTAAGCTTCTATTGTAACGCTGTTCCATTCCTTCTTGTCTGATGGTCTCGTTGACCTTCATATTTGTTTCAATCCTTAGTTCCTAGCTCCTGGATTTTCTTTCCACTAGATCTTTTTCCGAATTTTGTCCCATGATACTATCCATGACCGTCCACAGTCAATATCCTTTGAGATAGTTACAAAGGTGGTGTGAAATGCTTCCGACATATCATCTTATCCCGACAGTTAATGATCTACAGTTCAATATGTAACTGTAGTAGTGTTTTCTCCAGGTTTGGAAAATAATGGGGGCATTGGTTATGTGATACAGGCAGACTATAGAAATTTATGGGGGGATGTACACTGTGTAATACCCCCTTCTGGAGAAAACATTTGTAGCTAAAATATCACATAAGTGGTGTGACTGATACTGAAATTACATACCAACATTAACTCATTCACCCCTGATATTTCATAATGAACTATGTATTCCAATCTTTGAATTATGCAAGAGTTCAAATGTGTGTTCAGGGGTGAATGAGTTACTATACCTCCTAGTTCTTGTAAGTATATCACTGTTATAGAATAATGACAAGATGTCATGTTAACCAACCTCAGCTTTCTGAAAGAAATAATTAAAATCTGTTCATATAGCATTTCCCTGTATGGCGCTAGGAAGACAAATGTGTATGAATATATATGGGCAGGAAAGACTCTGAGATACTGTTGTTACTAGTTAATGTTTCACTACATAAATATTTAAGGTCAAACTCAGCCATTTCATGATAATCACTAAGTGGTACTAAGTAACCAAATGTGTTCACAAGCAGCCAGGACTTCTGTTAGCTGTGGGAACCCTAGCTCAAGCTTCTGTTAGCTGTGGGAACCCTAGCTCAAGCTTCTGTTAGCTGTGGAAACCCTAGCTCAAGCTTCTGTAGCTTCTGTTAGCTGTGGGAACCCTAGCTCAAGCTTCTGTTAGCTGTGGGAACCCTAGCTCAAGCTTCTGTTAGCTGTGGGAACCCTAGCTCCAGGTCTGATCAATTCTATTTTGAAATTTAACTTTATCGGACCATAATGTAAAATTTATAGAAATAAAATATCTAAAATTTAAGGTGTCTGTTAATTGGTTTATACCAGTGTTACTTAGTTCTCACTTGTCACTGAACACTACACAGCACTCAGTGTAATAACAGTTAAAAAAAAAGCTATACAGTTGCACCCATAAGAAATTTGATATATACTTAAATGATCCTGATCACCTAAGGCGTGCCAGTCTTACTAGAAAGTGACCCATCTTGACGTGGGCTAACTAATACTGATCCATCATTGTCACAATTTTATCACTGTAAAATGTACACGATTTATCCCTGGACATCCTGGATAGTAAATTTTGTAAGAGCCCATAGATCAAATTTAATTATAAACATACTTTCATTTTACCTTTGTTTTACTGATGGTTGATGCAATCAGCAAGAAATCAGATGTCAATATTTACTTTCACTTTTCCTATATTTTACAGGTATGTAATGTGGAGGAGTTGAAATGGGCACGCCAGTAGTTATAACCAGCACTGTTCTGCTGCTGTACATGTTCAGTATACCAGTCGCTCCACAGCAAGCCAACCTACAGCAGCCACAGGCTTTCCAGGGTAAGTGATACATGTATGCTCTAAGCCACTACTGGCTACATTGTTATTTTCCCCACAGCCTGACACACAGATATAAGTGGCAGGTACCTGCACCAAATTAGTTAGGGCTGTTAAAAGTTTGTACAGAATGTGTCTCAGCTTGATATTTGTGACAATACTTTCGTGAACACTGTGAAGCTTTCGTACTCATTTAAACAAGTGATATGGCCTTGGAAATGTGTACTCCTGAGATCTATATGGAAAAACTCCAGGTAATGTATCCTGTATTCTTTTAAATTAGGAAGTTTCTGTGAGTTTCTGTCGATATGATAGGAAAGTTTTCCTGAGTGAGGTTTATCTGTATGTTACCAGCAGAGATAAAAGGTCATTGAAATCTGTTGAAAGTCAAGATGTTTTGACGTATTCTAAATTAAGGAGATCATATTTCAAATTCTAAGGAATATTACATATTACAACATTCCAGGACAGATGTCTTTAATTCTAAATAAGGGAGAGAAAGTTTTGATATTCCGACTGAGGAATATTATATAATATGTAGTGTTAAGCTACAGACGTTTATTAACTCAAAATAATAATTAGGTAAGTGATGGAGCGTCAAAATAAGGAAGATGAGATTATCATGTTCTGAGAAATATAAGATATATAATGGAGATGTATGTTAGACATTTGTTTATAAGTAGTGAAACTGTCGAGGAAGCAAAGATTTCTGCCTACACCCTACGATAGTGTTCTGTTAGTAGTGTAGTAACAGATCTAGATTAAATGTACGGGGCTGTGGAGGGACATGTGCAGAATGCTCCACAGCCAAACACTCGTAAAAAAAATGTTGCGATTACATACAGAACATAGTGATACCCTGCAGGCCATGCTATTTCCTGACAACTAATGTAGTTTATTTTGGAAAACATTTACAAAAATGTTGTACAAAGTAGAAATGATAACCTCTGATTTACTACAGTGTCAGACTTTCAACGTCGGTCAGGAGATCTGAATTGAAACAGATTATTATTCAGCTTACCAAATTTTCGCCTAGATGTTTTGACCTGATACACAAATGTGTGTTAGTAAATAAGAATGCTTATAGCCTGGAGCTGTAACTCTAAATCTTGATAAGGAGTTTTTTGGTGTTCATATCTACGACCAGGCGATATTAGATTGTAGCCCAATACATGTGTTGGGTATATGTTCAGCTGATTTAGTTCCAATGTAATTGGATTCCGTCCTCAGCATATACGTCTGTCCGGCTAGTTAACATAATTGTAGGTTTCTTGGACTGTGAACTCTTCTTCAGCCTAAAAGTCATTACAGTGTATTGTAAATGTTTACGGTACTTGAACAAAGAGCCAGTTTCCTGCAGAGAACTCGATAACCACTTCAAGATGTCTCTGTCACTTGAGTTGGAGTTTTTTCTCTCATGCACATTTTAAGTTGTTGACGGAAGCTTCAATGTATCATGAGGAAAAATATTCCCTACATTACTTTACTATGGTGATTTTATGCAATATATAATAATATATGTATGCTAATTGAATACAACATAATACAGTAATATTTTTTGGGGGGAATTCAATTTGGAACTCTATATACATTTGTATATATATATGTACATTACAATTGTCTTCGCGAATAGACATATAATAACACCTTCTTTTTTCAAATTCTTTCGTAAACATTTAAATATATTTATAAATACTTTTTCTATTACAAGTTGATACATACATAGTCAAATAGAGTAATAGTTGAAATACATTTCTGCCTTATATCTTTATCAAATGGGGAACATCGGTGTGTTCTAGTTCAAATTATGGCTACATTTCTTTCTTCTTCACTTTCCGTCTATATGACTTATATGGTGTTAGTATGTGAGTAGCCTACCTAGCACTTGTTTCAGGTTTGTTTTGGGGTTTTTTTAAACTCATGGTAGATAGTGTATAGAAAGAGAACATAAACCAACCTTTTGCTTTAAGATTTAAAACACTTATATATTTGTTCTTCCTCATTTTCTACTTATATATTTGTTCTTCCTCATTTTCTACATGACAAAACATTTTTACTTGTAAACATTTCGTGGTGTTCCTAAGACGTTTCTTACACGTTCAGAAACTGGTATCGTGGGCCAAGATTTGAGTTTGATCTCTTTAACTGTTACATTTGGTGAGATAACGTGGTACAAGCTACCACCTGTACACTGGGGTGGATAGAACGGCCTGGAGTCGACCCCAACCCCTGACCCCAGTGGGTTACAGACCATGTGACCTTAAGAGGTGACCTTAAATCACTGATTTCTATATGTAGGTGTGTGCATATATGTGTGTATCGTGTGTACATGTGTAGAGTGTGTTCTCGATGGATAACTGATAGATGTGTATCTAATTTACACCACACAAAAATCTTATCACAGGCTGTTCAAAGCATGATTAGCTTATAGCATCATTTCAATGCAAAACTTTCATCTTTTAGACATATAAAAATACTGAAATTCAAAATTTTAGTTACTTGTATAGAAATTCAAATTGACTGTTTGAGGATGAAAATCACAATTTGTTATTGAAAATTTGCAGATGTTTATCAAAATTTGCATCTTAAATATCTACGTTCATGATTTGTTTAGCTAACCAGACTTTGATCAATTGGCCCCATCGTCTCGCCAACCTCTGATGGAAGTGCTAAATATAGGTTATTTCAATATCATATCCTTGCTTGATCATGTCAATATTCTTTCAATTGGTAAAACATGTATGTTTTCATCCTAAGTGAAAAAGTTGATAAAATATTGATTGATTATTAATTGAATTCATTGATCCCTGTATATATGTTAAATGATGGTCGTTCACCAGAGACGTAGTGTCTCGATCTTAATAGTAAGTTGTATCATGATCATCTGCTGTCATCATCTTTTTCTCTGAGTGACTTCTTCTTCAGAACTAAAACACCTACCATCATTATATTTAGCAAATAGGTACCAGTGATGGAGTTCAGTCAAGTTTTATTATATAAATGACCTTGACCCACTTTCAAGGTCAGAGAAGTAAAATATATTAAAAACGACAATACAACATTATCTAATAAACCATATGTGTTTTCTCCAAGTACCACATTTAGTCTCACTGCACAACTCAATCTGGGCCAACAATATTGGCTAATAGAAGTTAGAAAAGCTTGTTTTATAATTGTTGTAAAATAAGTAAAATTTGTACTTATATCTGTGTGAGTGATATAAGCACTTTGGGCCTGTTGTTTATATATACACTAAAAAACGAGTTGTAACTTACTACCCTTAGTAAACATTCTACACACAGCTCACATAGCTACTAACACTCTACTAATTAAGCTATTGAGACACATTGACACATTAAATCTACCCTCCTAAGGATTGTAACGGTTGATACTGAGCCTTATGTCTGGTTATATTCCTATGTATCTAATGAGAATCGTAGGACATTAAAATGTATTTAGTGAGAATTCCAAGACATTAAATTCGAAGAAAGGTACAGGTGTTCACATAAATTGTGTTTTCTAGATTTGATTTCAAACTGCTCCGAGACATTTTGCAACAGATTTGTGTAATGTGCTGCGTATATAATGTATTAAGTGTGAAGATAGATGTAACAGATGTGTAATGTTATCATTTGTATTTCTACTTTACCAGTGAGATTACCAGACAGACAAAACAACGAGGCAGAGCCGGCCGCAGCACATGGAAAAAATATAGAATATTTAAATTCCCTCCTGAAGAAGAGGAAGGCCAAAGTGAGCAATGATGGCATTGGTGACAAACAAACTCTAAAATCACGAGTAAAACGGAAGAAGAAGAGGAGTAAATCGCTAGATGGTAAACTTTCTATAAATAAAAATCCGTCTCCAGTGAACCTTGGAAAACCTCAGGATTTTGTGCAAAGAGCCAGTATAGTGTCTCAAAACAATCAGAAGGTAGTAACTCCAGGAGTAGGCGGAGCCAACACTGGGGGTGGGGCTAATAATAACGTTGTGGGAGGGGTTAACAATAATGGGGTTGGCGCTAATAATCTAATTGAAAACAAAATTAAATCACATTTACCAAGTGCTTTCAATAACAATAATAATGATAATGATGCTTTAAAAAGGGCAGAAACGAATAACAATGTTGTGAACTCGGACGCAAGAGTAAAAGTGATAGAGACCGGTGGGGTCAAACAAGTGCCCCGCCCTCAGGACAGTCTTCCTGTGTTGTCAGATAACATTGAGAGAAAAAGTAACCAGGATAGAGAGAAGCCAGTAGATGTTGTAGGAGGACCAAACATGATGCAGGACCCCGGCCAGCTGAGAGCAGACATCCAGGCCAACGCTCGTCTCAACCAGGCGGACGCACCTCTCAGAGATGAGAAACCCATTCAAGTTAAAAATGAATTACGGGAAGTTGCACACGATGAGGTCCACGTCAACTCGGAAGATGAAGTTGTTGAAGCAAAGGACAACATTGTACGCGACAACAACAATCAAATCCGCGTGAATGAGCAACCTGTGCATAACCAGGAAAACAATTTCCAGGAAAACAACAGGAATTGGCAGCCTGTGATAAACAACAATCCTCCACCGATGCAACAGCATCAACAACAAGTCAACAAGCCGAAGAAACAGGACAGCCAGCGCATCATGTGGGACTGGAGTGACTTTCTCATCAACTACGAGCAGTATGTCATGCCGGAGCAAAAGGTGAGGCGTGCTCCACACGCAACGACAGGTGAACCGTGGCCAATGCCGCAATATTACATCACGTCGCAGACAAAACTCTTCCGGCTGGACCGGGAAAAGTTCCACTTCCGTATTTCCAAGGAGACCTGTGACATCATCGAGAAGGCAATTGAGCGATACAAAGACTATATTCTGTATGACAGTGTTCAGGACACGTACGACAACTTGCAACATGCCCAAGGTTCTAGTCTGGAGGATGTTTATGAGAAATATGGGGATGAGGTCCACACACAAGCCGGTTACATTGATGAACTCAACATTAAGATCAGGCAACCCTGCACCAGACTTCCCCATGACAAAATGGACGAATCATGTAAGTTCTCTGTCTCTTGCTTTCTCTCCTTTTGTCTCATATACATTCTTTGAATCTTTTTCAAGCTAACAGAATACAGATTGTTTTGATAATCATGACAACAAATTCATAGAAAAAAAATACCATTAATACTAAATTCCTTGAAAATTGAGTTACCACATACAACATTGACGTTGTGTAGCTAGAAATTTAGAGACTTCTAAAAGTCAACCTTTTTAGCTGTGAAGAGATAGAAAGTTTTGAAAGGATCAACTCAGATAGTCAGGTTATCAGTTTATTTGTTGCTGTTTTCAGATGACCTTTTTATTAAACGTACTGGAGCCTTTTTATGGGCAAATGAAGTCTGGGGTGCTCTGCGGGGCCTGGAAACCTTCAGCCAGCTTGTCTTCAAGGGCACAAATGAAGAGGTATGTCAAAAACATATTACTGTTACTATAATATAAAATATTACTGTTACTATAACATACACAACAATGTACCCCTTTTGTGCCCTGTAGCATTCAGATATTGGTAGAGATATTGGTCACAAGCATGACAGTGTGTTAAACACATGATAGCTTTGAACTTTGACAATTGACCTCATTGACCTTTAACCTATTTTGATTCGGGCTTTTTGTTTATAATTAAGTTTGAAAATGTAGATCATGTTCATTTGAATATCGTGGAACCTCAGGAATCTTGACCTCCATAATTCAGAAAAGTATTGTACAGTTACTTTTTTTCCCAAATTGAATGATTAATATTCGTGCATGATATTTAAATATGCAAATTTCATTTTTCTGACTTTTTTATGAGAATTATTTAAGTGTCCAGGTTCCACTGTAAATGATAGAAATGTAATCATAATTAAGGTTCTACAACATTTCTTGCATATTAAAACTGAAAGGTAAATGTGTATATCTGTTGGATTATCATCAAAAGGTACAATGAAATTAACAAAAAATGCTGTAAGTTTTGCAGACTTCATTTCATTTAAAATCGGTCCAAAAGATTTGAGCTTGAAATGATCGGTAACTTAATCATCACCAGCCTGAGTACAGGATCTATGTGATACCAAATCTGTGGAGTTTCTAGGTGAAATAATGTAGTATCAATGAGATTTTCCTGAAGATAGATGATTCTCGGATTACAGGACCAGATCATAGGAAGCATTTAACTTTCGGCCACTTTAATGCAGCTCTTCATCTGCGATATCTTTTGAATTTTTAGTCACCAGTGGGGGCTATTAATTTCGGTTTCAGTCCCAGATTTTGATCTCTGTTGTCTTGGGCTGTTAAGTGTATTGCTTCTGTCGGAATATACCAGGCGCTAATTACAAGCTCTTGGATAACTCAGATATCAATTTCCTTTTTAAACAGGAATATCATAAAACCTAAAGGCGTTCCAAATTTCACACAGGAATTTCAATAAATCCTAAAGATGTTCCGAGTATGAATCAGGCACCTTTGAGGTTCCCGAAGGGGTAAACTGTCGTATTATAAATTGCGATTGGTTGATTTAGATATTTTTTGTCTGACGAATGACTACCGTTAATATTTGCGTATAGTGCACACTTTTTTAAGGAAAAATGAAGTGTCAAGAAAGGACTGTACAAGATTCTCAAGAACAATCCAAAACTTGTCCTTGGTCGCGACCATTTCTCTTAAATTTTACGAGGATTTTCAGAAATGTTTTAAAATATGCACCAATAAACTGCTAAATTTCATTGAATTGTATTGTATTGTATTGCCAATTTAACAATTACAATTACAAAAAGTTGCAAGTTTAAGTCATATTATACAATAGAATCGGATAAATAAACTGGAGTAAAGTAGGCCCAACTTTTCAGGATGTTACGTTGTGAATTGATAAATACCACGTGTCGGGGAAACATAATGAAGAATTGCATAGCATTTATCACTCTGTGGATAAAATGTTGTTCTTGGGTAAAATCATGCTGAAGTCTTTAATCTTGACAGTAGGAATGTGTCAAAGCGACATGGGTAAAGTGGCGAAGTTAGCAAGTTTGTGTACCGCAACGAGTCAAGGTAGCGTGATACTATTAACCGGCAGGAATTTACAATGAAACCGTTAATGATAAAAGTTTGAGTTTGAAAAATAAATATTAATGGGTTCAAAACAGCCAAATACATTCCGATCTTTTCTTTTCAAAGGAGAATTGCTGAAAGGTGTTCCTCAAGTCAACGCTAACGTTATATTTGCGACATGCTTTCTTGTTAATTCCATGTGTTGACATAGCTAACCTGAACAGCGTGTATGTATTTACATCTGGTCATTGATTACCATTTTGATTGACAGTTGGAAATATATCCGTTGTAGCTTGGTCAATGATTTATCGGAAAATGATCATACAGAATGATGGGGTGACTTTCATGTCATTCTGACATATTTCTAGTTTTATTTCTGTTTTCTTTAACACCTGATAAATACTATGGGTCCTTATCACTGCCAAAAAACTATTCACTGGAAACTGTCTGTACGACTGCCACTGGCTAAACATTTCTGAAAAGAAAACCATACAATGTGGAACTTAAATGACAAAATCATAGAGATAACATAAAACAAAGCAACAGCAGTGTTTTGAGTGTAAAAATACAAAGGAGTCAGACCAGGACTTGAACCCTGGGCCCCTAATCATTGTACTGTTTTTCTAACCAATGATAAAACCATGTCTTGATTGAGCTAGAAATATCCAGAACGACATTAAGGGGAGGTTACTATATGTACGAAAATCTACATTGGAATTATCTGGAGTTTGACAGGGATCTTTAAATATGTAAAGGAATTGTAGCAATATTAAATATGTAAAGGAAATGTAGCAATATTAAATATGTTTAAAGGAAATGTAGCAATATTAGATATGTACAGGAAATGTAGCAATATTAAATATGTAAAGGAAATGTAGCAAATATTAAATATGTAAAGGAAATGTAGCAATATTAAATATGTAAAGGAAATGTAGCAAAATTAAATTTGATGAATTCTTTATTTTGAGAGATTTCAGTAAAAGAATGAACAGTTTTTCCCTTAAGTATAACCCATTACTGCTATGTGTAGAAATCGTAACATTTCTTACTGATTTTGCAGCTCTACATCAGAGACACAGTCATCAATGATTACCCACGTTTCTCGCATCGAGGCATCCTCCTAGATACCGCACGTCATTTCCTCTTCAAGGACACCATCTTTGATGTCTTGGTAAGTTTTTGAGATATGATACAGTTGTCTAATGCTCTTCGGTCCCTGAGTTAACCAATTATTGCATATGGCATCACTTTTGTACAATTTACAAATCTTGTAGTATCTTCACATTTCCAGTTGACGCAGCCCCAGTGAGGATTGTTTATCTTGAATTCGGAGTGAATGCCCTTGATTATGATGTATGATTTTCCTTGTGTTGTCCCAATTGCAGCATCAAATTCCACTAACCAACTTCCTGAGAATGGCTTTTTCTTCTATTGAATTTGTTTACAGCGCTGTTTTTGAATTTTTATGGTTTATCGAACAGAAGACTATAGGGAATGTAATCAGCAAGTTTAACGAGATTTAATCTTACGAGAGAATTAAACATTATCGCTAACTATCCTCAGTATGTGCTTAAACCGTAACAAAGCTAAGTCGATACCGTTGTTGTGTTTGTGTAATCAACATGCGATTTGTTTTCTCGGAGTGTAAATTCCAATTAACATATATTAATTGACACGTGTACCACTTCAATCAAGAAAACGCGGTAAAACTATATTATCCCGGACATGTAAAGCCGTGGTTCCTACTAATCAGTCTTCAGTAGCACTAACCGGAACAAACAAAAGAGCCGATTAAGCCTGGTTGATCTAAATGCATTGTAAGATTAATGAACCGAGTGAAAAAATAACATTCTGTGAAAATCAAATTTATTCAAATTATTTTTAATCATCTTGACCGAACTTTACTGTTATCAGTCGGAAACCTCCATACATTGTTAATTTAAATTTATATCTGAATGAAAAAAATGGAAAAATAACCTGAGCTTGCAGATTTATCAATTTAAAGAAGCAAAAAGTCACCTGAATGTAGCTCAGATAATTAGCGTCTGGAACTTGCCTATTCTGAATGCAAAGGTTAAATGTTGGATTTATCAGACCATGTTATCTAAATCCAATATCATAATTAATATAGAAATCCACAACTTGTGTGTCTGTGTCATAAAGCACGGTGTTAAATACTCTAGTCAGGTAACGGGTAACAGCCTGTATAATGACATAGTAAATCAGGTGTTTAATACTCTAGTCAGGTAACGGGTAACAGCCTGTATATTTGTAATGACATAGTAAATCATACACAGATTATTGTATAATGCTTGATGTAAAATTCAGAACTTTGAAAGTAATTCTTCAATGCATCTGAAACTTCATCTTTGCAAGAACTACAATTCCTGGGCATGCTATTGGGTTTGTACATGGCAGGGGTCAAGATCTACCAGATAGTGTGTTAAATATCTTGACCAACATTCAAGGCCATGTTTGTCAAATTCGCTAAAAATCCTGGATGACATCTTCCAACGGCCAAGAGTCTTCATATTTGGACTTTTGGGATTAGTTGTGTTACAATAACTGACCTAGAAGGACTCTCATTTGCACAAAAGTGAAATGTGCTGAAGCTTTTACTACAGAACCGTGAGGCCTTGTATCACGATATGCAACTTGTAGAATGCTCAGGTCATGGGTTTTAACTGTTGATAAACTTGTGAGCAATTGATACCTCTTAGGCCTCTTATTAATTTTTTCCAGAAGACATTGCAATTTCTTAAAAAAAAATGGGGATTCAGCATATTCAGAATGGGAAGACATTTAACTGCTACGTAACATTGTCATTGATTGATAAAGTGAACAATTCCACAACAGTCTCCATAGGTCTGAGAAATTCAGACAAAAATATGCAATTCAAATAAGACAACTTATGATAGGGATTTTGTTTTTTTTGTATGAGTGTATCCAGTTTTTATTGATGTCTTGATTTTAAAGTATCCTGAGGCAGTCTGTCTTCATATGGCCGTGACTGTTTTTAGGACGGTCAACCCCAAACTAACAAATCCTTAGGCAGTGATGTCAGTACTATATGCTCCTGTAGTTCACTGGTAAAGCTACTAAGGATGTTCAAATTGCTCAAACTACAGAACAGACCAAAGGTTAAGAAATGAATTCCGTTTGGCTGGATTGATTTTATGACATAATTTGTTGCTGGGGAATAAGATTGATTTGTTTTGGACTTTGATCAAGGCGATATGGGACTATAAGCCAGTCTCATAATAACGATTTGAAGTTCTGTCGTGCTCTTCATGATATTGGATACGTAAGTGGTACAGATCCCGTGGGTCTTTTCCTGTTTTAGTCTGATAGGTTACACTATAGACTAATTACGCAAGCACTTGGGGTTGATTGATTTCCTGGTTGGAGAGATCAAAATAATTTAGAGTATTTATGGATTTGATTAGGAATCCCTGCAGTGGTATTGCATTTGAAAACTTTTATGTATTGGTATACGTGTCTCTAAGACTGTGACTAAACGTAGCGAAATGAGACCTAGGTATGGATTAGTCTGAGGCTCGGCTGTGCTTTTAATTGGAAGGAAAGAAATGCCATGTGGAATGAGAAACTCGTGGGGACAGAGAATACTAAAGGGAGGGAGAAAATGCTGTGAGGAAGAGGGGGCATGTTATTTGTTGTTATGATAAAGTAGATAATGTCATGAGAATTAAAATAATGTAATGGGAAGTGACAGATTATCATGAGGAAGGAGAGTATGCCTTGGAAGGAAAAAGATAATGTCATGACAATAGGATAACGTCAATACAAAGAGAGATGTTAATACAAGTGGAAATAATGTAAATGTAGGTAATGTCAATATATAAAGGGATAAAGTGTCATACAAATGGAAATGTCAATATAAATGGAAATGTCAATAGAAATGGAGATAATGTCAATATAAAGGGATATAATGTCAATATAAAGGGATATAATGTCATACAAATAGAGATTATGTCAAAAAACGGAGATAATGCCTATATAAAAGGGTAGAAATATCGGTACAAATGAAGAGGTCAATATAAAGGGAGATAATGTCATTATAAAGGGATATGAAGGTCATACAAATGGAGGTTACGTCAAAAAATGAAGATCATGTCAATAGAAATGGAAATTATAAATGTCAATACAAAGAGAAAAAATGGCAATACAAATGGGGACAAATTCTCCATTTTTTTGACATATTCTCTATTTGTATGACATTATCTCCCTTTATATTGACATTATCTCCATTTCTATTGACATTTCCATTTATATTGACATTTCCATTTGTATAACACTATCCCTTTATATTGACATTACCTCCAACATTTACATTATCTCTACTTGTATTAACATGATCTCCATTCATATTGACATTATCTCCATTTCTATTGACATTATCCCCATTTATATTGACATTATCTCCATTTCTATTGACATTATCCCCATTTCTATTGACATTATCTCCATTTGTATTGACATTTCCATTTATATTGACATCTCCATTTGTATGACACTATATCCCTTTATATTGACATTACCTCAAACATTTACATTATCTCCACTTGTATTAACATGATATCCATTTATATTGACATTATCTCCATTGATATTGCCTTCAATTGTATTAACATGATTTCCATTTATTTGACAATAAAAGGGTAGAAATGTCAATACAAATGAAGATGTCAATATAAATGGAGATACTGTCATTATAAAGGGATATGAATGTCATACAAATAGAGATTATGTCAAAAAAAAGAGATAATGCCAATATAAAGGGGTATAAATGTCGATACAAATGAAGATGTCAATATAAAGAGAGATAAGTCAATATAAAGGGAGATAAGTCAATATAAAGGGAGATAATGTCAATAGAAATGGAGATACCATCAATACAGTTGAGGTTAATGTCAATTAAAATGGAGTTAATGTGAATATAAATGGCGGTAATGTCATCAGAGGAAAGAAAAACTTGTATAGAGAGAAATTGTGTCATTGTACATTATTTGGAATAACATTCTTGGTACGAATCACTGGTTTAAACTACAAGAGTTCCTAGAGATTTTCTGTCAGTATCAATATAAATGAAAGGTCTGCATTCTGAATGTGACCGGTTAGTACAGTGAGGCCAGCCAGGTAAGTTCAGCCAGGTTGGTCAGGTAAATACAGTCAACTTAGGTTAGTACAGGCGGGATATTTAATGGACTTTCCCTTATCTTGGTCGCTTTCTCAGATTCTTCTGTTACCTGTGTGAACATTTGTTTCCCTGTCTATAACTTTTGACCTTGCCTGTCATTCACATTGTGAGACAGTCAGCCTGAGATACACAGACTCCAGGGTATGGTATTTCACATAAACAGGAGACATGATCTGTTGCGCTTATAGTGACATTGAAAATGTTACATGCAAAATGATGAGCATGCCCTGATTAATACTCCTCAGGTGATGATGGTGATGATTAAAAAATATACGAACAGAGGGGCTGATCCCCCAGGGGGCTGAGAGGTCGGGTCGTAAAATTGGTAGTAACTTGAAAATGGTTGTGATAGTCATACAAACCCTATAATCATATGCTACTAGCTTGGCATGAAGAGACAAAGACAGTCATGCAACCAAGATTGAATACCAGGGTCTGGCCCAACACCTGGGGACTTAGTCCCTAGGTCACAACATGGAGAGGGCTGAGTGACTATATATATAACCATATGTACAATTGCTGCACATGAAGGGGCAGATAGATATATACTACCAGGATTGGCACTTTAGTCCATCCCAGCCCCTGGGGACTTATTCCGTAGGTCAAAAAATGAGGTAGTTAAGATTACCTCAATAACCATACATATAATTGTTTGAAGAGACAAATACCGGAATTTGACCACGAGTTACTGGAAAGAATGGAATATTATGGGGACAAAAAGGACAATTGAATGATTTGTATTATTTCGAGTATATAGAGTTGCTTTCCTTTGTTTAGGATGATCAAGGAGAGGAATATTAGTCTTGTATTCGGGAAGTGTGATGATGGCATGTTATTATGATAGAACAGAATTAAAGTATGCCGTGGAGATTTGGCTCAAGAGGAGATCTGTGTAATGTAACACACAGGGTTATTGGATTGTGGATCAATTGATGAGCCATCTAAACTAAACA